CAGGGCATGTAGCACGAATGGGGAAGACGAGGAATACGTATAGGACATTGGTGGGAAAGCCAGAAGGAGAGAGACCACCGGGAAGGCCAAGGCGTAGGTGGGTGGACAATATTAAAATGGATGTTAGAGACTGGATTGATCTGGCTCAGTATAGGGACCAGTGGGGGGTTCTTGTGAACACGGTAATGAACCTTCAGGTTCCATAAAATACTCGGAAATTTTTCGGTAGCTGCAGAATTGGCGGCTTCTCCAGAACGGCTCAGCTGCATGAATGAGTGAGTAATATTTTACACTAGTGTGGTACATTTCGTTGATTGCAGTGAACGTTTTATTTTACACTTTAAAGAACATAGTTCGAGAATGAATAACACTTTGCTGTAAAACAGTGCATCTGCTCTTAAATTTAGAGTGCCTCATTCCCAAAAGAACAAAACAACTTATTCAGAGGGATGTCGAATAAGAAATACAGTTAAGGGAAAGTATAATAGGGAAGCCAGAAAAACTTTTCCTGTGAAGCAAACAACAAAAATGACTGCGAACTGTAGAGGTGTGAGAATGACAACGATAAAGAAGGTAAGAAAATAAAACAAAGTAAGAAATTAAGAACACCCAGATGAACTGTTGTCTATGTTTTGGATTAAGATGAGCATCTGGACCTCAACATAGTCACGTTTGTTTATGATCTGCGTTAGATCGAATCTCGTAGAATTCAAGAAGCATAGAGAAAAGAAATTCGGGCAGCTATCGGCCGTGCTCTATTTTGATTCCCACCTAAGTTGTATGACTTAAATGAGGTTGAATTGACATTGACCGAAATTAAGTGCATAGCCAGGGAAAACGATTTGATTGTGGGCTTATCATTTTAAGAAAATAGTGAAAGTATGGGATATAGAAATTTTATGGCTTACGTTCTTAAACCAGCTATATGAGTCAGCAATACACTACCGGTTGTTTTTCTCTTCATTTTGAAACTGCTTGTGTAGAAATCGATGTTCAAGTCCCTCGACTTTTCACTATGTGCGCGGCATCTAGTATGGAAGACGTGTACTATATACGTAAGGATGGCCACTGCATCCTGTGACATCTAGCGAGGAAACGTTTAAGTTCGTGCCGCGACGCATGGGTTATGTTAGTAGTACTGTGTAAATTATATGATTTTCCGACTTTCGTTCCATCGAAAAGATATATATAAGAATATGATGTACAGAGATCGTTATTATATGAAACTAAAAAAACTTTATTTTCGACCGTGACAGGACTCGAACCTGCAATCTTCGGATCCGAAGTCCGACGCCTTATCCATTAGGCCACACGGTCAAACTTCCAGAAAAGACCAAGAGCCAGTAATTAAATGCTTAACATGCTCTTTCTTCTGTTGGCATCTATGATTAATTATACTGCTAAATATTTTCCTTCCTTCCTTTTGTACATTACGTATTTTCATTTACATTACATACAATCTTAAAACCCTGTTTTATCATGTATATTCTAGAGCACGTAATTCTTCAACGTTACGCAAGCAAAAGTTCTTCGTTTCTAAGAAGATTAGATTTTTTTCTCAATATTGGTTTATTTTTAGACATTTTAAATACGACGCTTCAACTGCATACGTCACATATGGTCAAGTATTGTGTAACAAGGAATTTCGGACACGCAATGCTCGTTTTCTTGTCATACAGATTTGTAGTCCTATAGATCGCTTGCTGTTAAATTATTTTTCTTTTATTGCGGTTTTGTGAAGTTTCGTATCGTCATCACGTTTGTAACAGGCGTATTTTGCACATACAGTGTAGATATGTTTATGAACTCTCACAACCAAATTTCACTTACCGCCATGAAACTGAAAGCTGAAGAAAATATTCGTACGACCGCCATCTTGTTCTACATATTCTGAATATTCTACTAGTAATTCAGGGAACAAGTCTTCCGGGAGGGACTTTAAGCCGCGAGTCCCGTGTCGTAGCTTTACGGCACGTAAAAGAACCTCATATCTCCTGAGGAGGTCACTGAGCCAAATTCAAGGACACATCCCGCCCAACAGTAGTCTCTAACACCTCTGATAGATGGGGGAAGCATTATACATACCGCCAAGCCAGTAGAGGCCGAACTCGCTGTCTTGGTCGGGACTGATGGTAAGTACCAGTATCGGTAGGGTATAGAGTCTGGTAGAATATCATAGAGGGAAGCACAATAGATCAAACTGGTCGCGGTGCATGGGGAAACCCACCCTCTCTAAATAACTAACTAACTAACTAACATCATCTGAACAAAGTTCCTCTTTTCGAGACTTTTCGAAGATTTATTACCAAACGCCATTTCGAAACTCTAAATTAAATGGCGCTAGTGTCGCTCACACCAGAGAAATTCTCTCGCAACCCATATTGTTATTATTAATTTAAAAAATTAAATAAAACTCAGGAGGAAAGAATGGCTTTCAAGGTATATGGTTCGAACAAGTTTCGTGCAGACCGTATAGACAGACTACCTCTTAGGCATAATATCTTTCCTAGAGAAAGGAATTCAGCTGAATAACATATGACGGGCCTTCACTGCCTATTGCAGAGGTAGCTTTTACGCTCAGTTTTTATATTTCTATTACTGTACTCACATAAGTTATTCCCAGGTTAAATGATCCGATTAATAATAAATAAATTGTAAATGAATGGTTGGATGACTGGATGGTTGGGTAGGTGGACGAATGAATATGTAGGTGGATGGATGGATTAATGGTTGAACTGGTGGGTGAGTGGATAGCTGATGGATTAGTGTCTATAAACATTGATAGATCGGGGAATGCATAGTGGAGGTGTTAACAGTGCTGACAATAGAGCGATAAACAAGAGACGACATAACGAACGGCAGAATTACGAGACGAAACACACAGTTATGAGAAAACTTTTCCCAGCATAATTCTGTGCAACATAAATCCTATGGAAACGTACAAAACATATCGTACTGTAGCCCCTGCAATTATGTATATTCACAACAGGATGAGCAGAGATGAAATTAACCTCTCATAACATTCATAAAATCCCTCCACAGACCTACAGATTAAGTCTGCTGACCGTTGTGGTGAATTCACGTACAGTATCGACCTATCGATCCCTGTAGCAAAACAGCACCACGCCACACAACGTTCCCTGTTCCGGACTGGGTCCCTCAAGGACTTCCAAACCGCCAGCATATTCTTCGCTTCACATTGTAGTATTCTGAGTTGTGACACCGTGTAGTCTCGTAGACCCAAATCAACGTTTCGGAGGAACATACTGCCTCCATCTTAAGGGCAGAAGGCCTGAACATGAGAGCAATACGTTCATTCGAAATATTGATATTCACCTACAACAACGGACGGAGTGTAGTTATGTATGTATGTATGTATGTATGTATTTATTTATTTATTTTTCTCAGCAGACGTAGTGTTGTTATTTATTTATTTCTCATACATTTAACAATGTCTTCAGTGACGCAGAATATACGGCGTCGCAGAGAAGGATGATAGTGGATAATGAATTGGAAAGGATATGGAAGGAAACGGTACTATCCCTAATGAAACCGCATAAATCTCTTTCAGAACAGTTGGTGTTATGACCTTGATAACATTTGGCAAAGTCTGCAAATTGAGAAGCGATTTTTTTTTCCGTAGTCTATTTGTCTCTTGGGTCCAAATGTTCTCCTGAACACCGTGTTCTTAAACACCCTCAACGTACCGTAGTCTCTTAGGGTGAGGTACAAGTTTTCGTGCCCAAATAAAGCAATAGGTACTATTAGTGTTTGTAAACCTGTATTTTTATTTTTAGATTATGAGACTAGAATGTATTTAGCTAAATGTAACAATTTCTTCATTTGTACTTCAAAGTATTTTTTTTTTATTTTTACTGTCGTTACAAAATATTTTAATTGGGCACATTTCGAACTTATAACTGCTGTCTCTGTGTTCTTCAAATTTGCCCTGCATTTGGTGAAGAGACTGACACAATATAGAACTGTTTCTCAGTTTCAAAACTACAACATAGGAGTGATGTGGGGGCACCCATAGGACATTCTTTGTTTCCCCCCTTGTTAGGGTGGTTATGAGAATGTTAGCCAGCAGAAGGGACCCACACCTTGGGGAGGGGTCCGAATTCCACCCATTCAAAATAAAGAAGACGCACACAAGTGCGTCAGTCTGTGTGTTAAGACTTGGAACCTACTGCATTAGAGTCTAGGGCCTTATCCAAGGAGACCAGTTCGACACTTGGGTGATGTAACATGCTGAAATTCTGATTTCTTCCCATAAAGTGTATTTATATGTTTCTTGTGATCCTGACAGTAAAGAGCAGTTGTATCCCTGAACAGCATTAACCGGTTGGTCTTTGTAGTGGAGGCGGAATATTGTCACATAAATGAGTGACTATAGGGTCAAGACCGGCTCTGAGGTCCACCCAAGCTCCTATCCAGTGTGTACCAGGGGTTAAGCGGCCGGGGCTTGAAGCTGACCACTCACCTCCAACTACTGCCGAGGTCAAGAAAATGTGGATCTCTACATCCACTTCAACATACGCCTTCATGGTGCAGTGCTTAATTGGCTGAGCACAGGGACGACCTTACCTTTACCTTTACCCCTCTATAGCTCTGCAGTTCTTTTGTTGGAACTCGGCCGCTTTTTCAGTTCCTTAAGCGTGTACAGAGTCGGTAGGGCTCCTTGGTCGGGCGATCAGCCAGTCTCAAATCCGCTGCCTACATGTAGAACAACACAAACACAGAATAAACGCACACAGACATTCATGCCTTGTGTGGGATTCGAACCCAAGTCCCCAGTGTTTGAGCAGGTGAAGACAGTTCAGTTCTCAGACCACGCGGCCACTGGGATCGACTTCAATTTCAATACTGCGTAACCAAAAATACATCTAGGGGAATCTATGTGTGAAGCCAATTTTGTTAGCTTCCCCCTTCCACCCTGACTTGCGTGTGTTTCCCCTCTGCCCCTCCACGTACGTGGGATGTAACGACAGAAGGGAGAGTGTTCGAAGGACGGACGGGCTGCCTCAGTGGATCGCTCCTCAATGTGGGCTTGGGCGTCGCGTTTCGCACTTTTCGGGGTGACCGCAACATGGCTGTGCTGTCTCTCAACAGAAGCAGTTTATGCAGATGCGGCGGGGGTCACACTGAAGTTGCCGGGTCTGGGGGCCCTGCGGGGTTCCCTCAACACGTCAGCCTGGACCAGCCGGGCCATATATCAGTTCCAGGGGATACCATTCGCCAAGCCACCCGTCGGACATCTAAGATTCAAGGTAAAAATCAGCATCTAATTATCTATTTGTCTTAACAAGTTGAAGTTGCTTCTGTGCTTAACTAATTAAGCTCTGTACAAAGAAGGCGTATGAAGGAGTGGATGTATAGATCCACATTTTCTTGACACCGATATTAGTCGGAGGTAAGTAATCAGTTTCACGCCCCAGTCGCTTTATCCCCGGGGAAGGAGCACCCGGTACCCACTGGATAGGAGGCTGGGTGGGCTGAAAGCCGGTCTAGACGACATTTAGAAATGACCCTCCTGGTACTCGAACTCCGACCCCTCAGTTGTCCAGCCCATGCTCAGTCGCTATGGCAACTGCACTACCCCGGCTCCCGAGTAAGATGATAAGACACAAAAAGAGAACTTCACCTGTTGTTTGATGCGACTGTAAAATTTGATTTTATCACATTATAGAAAGAACACAATTTAAGAGTGTTTCAGAACAGGGTGCGGCGGGGGAAGAATATTTGGACTTAAGAGGACTGAATAGAGAAACTACATAAATAAGGGCTTCATAATTGTTGCTCTTTACCACACTTCATTAGAATGATCACAAAATAGGATAAGCTGAGATGTGCTTTATACATATATAAAATGAATAAGAAATGCTTGCAAAATTTTGCTACTACGAGTAAAGCTAAAAGGAGATGGAACCGCGGAATATCTAGGCTTAGAAGCCAGGTAATATTACAAACAGTTCTGGGAAGACCCAGTCTCCTACTTTCCTTCGACATGACACGAACTGCACAGAAAACGGCGCCTCCAACAGTTCTTCAACTCTGTGGGAACGTCTTTATCGAGCTGTTTCCTAGCAACGACAGGAGGATAGAAAGACAGACACACGCTTCAAATATTCCTTCAATTGTTGTGTGTACAGTAGAACTTGGTTATAACGTCATCAAAGGGACCTAAAAATAGTGTCGTTATAAACGGATGTCGTTGTAACCGAAATGGGCACTTCCACAGTAGCCTTATGTTAGTCACATAAAAATCTACCAAAAACCGAGTTAAAATGTTGCATTTTTTAGTGAAATACGTAGTTAAGTACAGACTAACGTAACATTAACGTGGAATTGCCCAAATGTGTAATATCAAAGACATATTACAGCGCTTTTCACTGACAATACACTGTATACAATACTGTATATTAAAGGTAGGTCTACTCACCAAATTACAGTAGATTACATCAATTGTTGTGCCTTACTGTACCTAGATACGAGTACAGTAATCAGTTATCTTCATCTGTTTCCTGTTACTTGCCCAGTACACACTTTCTAAATTACGTTCAATTTTTGTCACAATTTCACTGCTGCCTCCCCTGGTTCATAACACAAGTTCACAACCCTAATGGCTTCACCCTTGTTTTCGCATAAAACCCACGCTCCTCTTGCAGCCCGCGGTCGTATTCTTCCAGAACAGTCACGTCAGCAAGTAGAGAAAGTGAGGGTGGGCAGACACATCGAACTTTCCCACGATATCAGAGAAATTCAGGAATGAAAATGACGTTACATACGAGGTTGATGCATTTGTGCATGTCGTATTAAGCAAGGTATAAAAACAGTTGCTTTATGAGGAATTAGTTCGTACCATTGAATATTTGACGCAATAGACAAGGTGTCGCAGAAACCGATGTTGCTATAACCAAGTTTTACTGTATTTATTGCCGCGAGAAAATGTTTACTCAGTCGTTGCCTATCACTGAAAAGAGGGATGCATTTTACCGATCCTTTGTCTAGCAACAATGGGATGTATACACATACAGACACACAGACTGATGGGAGTGATTTATGAAGTACGGGTTCAGGTGCCATGATGTACATACCAAGTTTCATAAAGATTGGTTCAAGCATTCAAAAATTAAGTGGCCGGGATTCGCAGACATACAGAAAGCACGAAGTTCACATAAGCCTACTTTCACCTTCTCAAGAAAAGGGGGAAAAAGAACTCCGTGACCTGTAGTCCGCAAGCGAATTATACTGACCGAGCGACCGCCGCTTGTTGGCGAATTTAGTGCCATTTTTTGCGGATAGAGGATGTCACGTGGTCAGCGCAACGGATCCCAACGGCCGTTAATTTCGGATAATAATGAAGCAGGGTACAAGGATGTGGGCTGGATCCATCTTGTTCAGGATTGGGAAAATGGTGGGACGTTGTGACCATGGCAATGAATTCTGGGTTCCATAAATCAGTTGGACTCGTCAAAATGTGTTTACGTAAAACTTACAGTTAAGTCCGTGTAGACGAATTTTGTCTAATAAATTTCCTATTCTAAATGGTCTAAAACAAGGAGATGCTCTGTTGCCATTGATTTCAACTTTCCTTTCGATCTATGCCATTAGAAAGATAAAGGAAAACCAGGTGGAACTCAAATTGAATGGGGTACATCAGCTTCTGGTCTGTGCTGATGACGTGAATCTCCTGGGAGATAACACAAATACCATAAAGAAGAACATAGGAACAATAAATGACGCTAGTAATGAGGTTGGTCAAGAAGTAAACACAGAGCAAACTAAGTATGTGTTGCTGTCTCGTCACCAAAATGCAGGGCAACATGATGAAAATAAAAATAGGTAAAAGATCCTCTGAAAATGTGGCACAGTTCAGATATTTGGGAACAACGATAACAGATCAAAACCTGATTCAGGGGGAAATTAAGAGTCGATTGAACTCGGGTAACGTTTGCTATCATTCAGTCCAGAACCTTTTGTCTTCTCGTCTGCTGTCCAAAACATAAAAATTAGAATATGAAACGATAGTGTTTCCTGTGGTTCTGTATAGGCGTGAAACTTGGTCTCTGACATTAAGGAAGGAACATAGACTAAGAGTATTTGAGAACAGGGTGTTGAGGAGAATATTTGGACCGAAGAGAGATGAAGTGACAGGAGGTTGGAGAAAACTGCATAATGAGGAGCTTCATAACGTGTACTCTTCTCCCAAGTGTAATTAGAATGATCAAGTCAAGGGCAGAGCATGTAGCACGAATGGGAGAGAAAAGGAATGTATATAGGATACTGGTGCGAAAGCCAGAAGGAAAGAGATCACTGGGAAGACGAAGTCATAGATGGGAGGATAGTATTAAGATAGATTTTAGAGAGATAGGATTAGATGCCATGGGCTGAATTGATCTGACTCAAGATAGGGACCAGTGGAGAGCTCTTGTGAACACGGTAATGAACCTTCGGGTCCCATAAAATATTGGGAAATTCTTGAGTAGCTTCGGTTTCTCAAGGGCACAGTTCCATGGAGTAAGTTGTGCGGCTGTGATCTTCGGTCTGCTTGCTTATTTTCTATCTTATCTTCCTACGAATACTATAAGCGGAGAAAAGTACTTCAAGCTCGTTATGTAATTATTTACATTCCTTGTTCCATGGTATCTGTCCTCAAGCAAGACGTACTTTAACTCCTTCAATGTGGCTTATTTTAGCATCCCGAAAGGAATGAATTTAAATTTGCGCATATATTTCCGAAATGAATAAGGTAAAAATAATATACAGAACTGACACTGCACCAGTGCAGCCCCACGCCTGGCAGTAGACGGAGGGGAGTGGCCAACTTCACCCCCCCCAGCTATTACAGTGTTCCCTGTACAGCCGATATGGGCTCTGTGGACAGGAGGAGTAGCGCCTGCTCCTACCGGAAACTGCAGCCGAAGTCCTTCTCATACCATCCTGTCCAAAACCTAAGCTCATTAGTTTCGTTATCAGCCCGTTCATGACGAAAATCTGCAAAAATGCCCCTATTAGCATCAACACTGCCTGTCCGTCAACTGGTTACAACTTTATAACTCAAGAACCACTCAGTCTGTTATCATTAAGAGTGACGACAGATAGTTTAGCTAAAGTTGCAAATTTGGTTGAAAATCGTACGAAACTGACGGACAGTGTACCTCAAAGCGCACTTGACTTTCTATGTCTGGAGCGCAATTAGCTAAGCTTTTATGGAAGGGAGGAAGACTGCTTGAGACAAAAGTTACAGAGAAAATTGACACATATTTAATGCCCACAGCACCAGTTCTGTAAGTCCCGTGTGTTTCTTGAAAAGCAGAGAAAAATTAGCGAAAGTGGAATAAGTGTTAATCTATGCGTAACGTAAGATCAGATAACATTGTCTGTGTGCTTATCTAAGCTAAATACTAAGCCGCGCCATAGCTCAAGCGTTTAGTCACTGGCTTCCCACTGCGGTGGTCCGGGTTCGATCCCGGGGTCTGGTCAAGTGGGATTTGTGGTGGACAAAGTGGCGCTGGGGCAGGTTTTCTCCGAGTACTTCGGTTTCCCCTGCCAATCTTTATTCCACCAATTGCTCCACAATCACCCTCACCTATCATCTGGGGCTTGTACAATGGGCCAGAACTGGCCGCAGTACAAGGGACTTAGTCCCACCCCACTAGCAATAAATAAAGCTAAATACTATGTCATTAAAACGTATGGGAGAGTGGAGATATAGCTCCACCTTTCTTCACCTCAAAACCAGTTGGAGGTAAGTGGTCAGTTTCATACACCTGGCTCTTTACCCCCAAAGAAATAGCCCCATGTACCCACTGGACGCTGTGGAGAAGAGAAAAATCTTGCACCGCTACGAATCTAGCCGGTTACCGTTTGAACCATTAAAACTCCTTAAGCTATGCATGTTTCCTAATAGGTCTAATGTTCCTATATATTCGGACTACAAATTACTTTTTCCGAGTTCAGTTCATGTTACTTCGTGTAACGCCTGGTTTCGCCGTAGAGACTTGCACATACGAGAAAAGCCTGGGTTTGTGACAGTTTCAAAGACTCGTGTGAAGCCTCTTGGCACGGGACAGTAGTACTTTCACCATTCAGACTGACCTTGTACTTTGAAGCGCATTCAATCCACAGTCTTCTTGCCCACGGCATTCACACAAGTGATCAAAATAGATTATCCAGCTGATGTGTGACTACACGAACACAAAAGCCAGAATCAGTGTGTGTCTGGCTCACAAAGTGCCTTCTCTTGGGTACACGCCAGTTCTTTCAATGGCATGTCTTCTCGTTCTGCTGCGACTTAATAAAATCTTCCCAACGCAGCACTCAAATGCATCATTATCTTCGTCATCGTACTCCAGTAACTGTGGTGGGTTCTTATACAGAATGTACCAGGTTAGGCGCCTGTCGCTTAGGAACGACAGCAGGTGTGATGATGTTGGTACTTACAGCATACCCTTCGTTGACACAAGTTACGCGCATCCGGAAGACAGCTCTGGTTACCTCCCTTCATAAGATTTTCATATTCTATCTTTCGGTTTGTAAAAAAAAAAACAATAAAGCTATCCCTGTAACATGCCGTGGAGACCCATACGGTCCTGCGACGTCGAAGCTCCCACACTTTCTAGATAATCGATTCACAGATGGCGGTGAAGTTGTCAGGCTTACGCGCCGCTGCAAACTTTTACTCCCAGGAAAATTTGTGTTTCTCGTTTCTGTTAGAGGCTGAGTCGACCCCAGGGTCGTAATGTGGCTGGAAGGATTAGGTCAATTAAAAAATCCAATGACCTCATTGGGATTCCAACCCGCGACCTTCCGGCTTGTAGCATAGTGCCTCAACCAACTACGCTACCGCGTGCCCCTTGTACCTTATTTAATTTTACTGCTTGTTTCACGACATTTTCAATAACTCAAATTATGTAGCATCTAATGATAGGATTAACAGAGGATAATGAACTGCAAGAGATGTGGAAGGAAGCGGTCCTGGCCGGACTACATATTCAAGGTTACTGCTTCTAAATGAATATCTACACTTGTTATAGGAACGGAAGATGGAAGGTTTTGTTTGAGGCGTTTTTGCTACAAGACGTTTGATATGTTAGCATGAATTTACATAGCAAAATTCATCTGCTCTTAGCTGTTATTACAGTACAATGCAAATTCTTCTACTAAGGTTAAATATTTTGCCAAATTTTGTTTGTATATGAAAAACACCTTGTGCCTGCTAATACTTCCTCGATAGATTTTATACTTAAAAATTTACAATTTAAAATTCAATGTTGCATTAGGCCCTACATCAGTTGTTTATGTAGTTGAAAAACTGTGTTGTTATCGTGCTAATTAATCTACTCCCATCTAATTACTTCAGAAGCTTGCAGCTGTAAGCGGAAATCTTCAAGGGATGCATTTTGTTGTGTGTTTACCATTGTATATATTTTGTATACCTGTCAAACACAGCAATCAATTAAAGTTACTCACTTCCACTATTTCGTATCAAATGAGATTTTATTGGATTAACGTATAAGGTCGCAACATGTTTCGGCCCTCAGGGAGCCACCATCATCTGGGGATGCACTCTACAAATCTTAAAGAACTGAGTTTAATTCTTATATGGATCCATATGTTACAAGTATTCAGTGTGTCTATAATATAAAATAAATATAAAATATTAAACATTGCGTAATCCCCCACATACAAAGATTTATATTTAAGCTTCTATGTTTTCAGCTTAATTTTATTTAAAATATATTACATTACACCTGAAACCTTCTTGAGTTATTTCAACTGATTACTGTGTTTGACAGGTATGAAATATATATACATTAATATACAGTAATTAAATTTGCGCCCGAAATAATTTTATACGCAATAAACATCGTTCAGTGCATACTGCTGGTCGAGTTCCTTCCAAAACTTTCCTTATTGTTGCGTAACCTGGTTCCACTGTTGCGCAACTTGGCAACCGACCGTTTAGCAAGGGTCTGCCTTCGTGGTAACTTGTTCCACATCCCGTTGCCTAGCAACGGCTTGATATGTCACAATATTTATGTGCTTCATAAGGTTCTTAGAATGAACAGCGATTATTACTCTAAACAACATTGACGACTGGTCTTTGTAATGTACTCGTATATTGCCTGGAAACGAAGAACTGAATTTTTAAATATTATTTGGATGAATCCACACTTCTAAGGGTTACGTAGGCCAACTGACAAAGCCTGCTTCATGCTAGTACAGATATCGCTTTGTATTCCCGTTGGATTACGTGTTCTGGAGTTTAACTAGCTGACAAGCTCGATTTGTTGACTAAATGCTGTTTGTGTAAATCCAGCAGGACCCCATTAGTTGCATCAACTTATACATCAAACATGCATGAGCCTTCTATAAACTGGCATATTCAGAGAGTACATAATGTTACGGTTTGGATATAGAAGTACCAATATTATACACTGACAGTCACGGTAGCCGAGCGGTCTAAGGCATGCACTGTCTTCCCTCGCTCGGAAGCCGGAATCGTGGGTTCGAATCCCACTCAGGGCATGGATGTTTGTGTGCGTTTTTCTGTGTTTGTGTACAGGTAGAGGCCTTGCGACGTGCTGATCACCCGCCCAAGGAGTCCTACCGTATGTCTAAGATCTAGTAAAACCGAAGTGAAACGGAGAGTTTCATGGAGGTAGGCCTAGGCCCAAATTGGGGCTGTAGCGCCAATAAAAAAAAATACTGCAGGAGCGTGAATGTATTCTTCTCGAAATACGCCAGTCTCATTAACCTTACTGCATGTGTTGTCATGTGTGAGACGTCCGCTTTTGCCATTATACATAGTGAGCTGTTTAAACTCAATATTAGGAATATTTCTGCCGAATATTAATAGCTCTCTATCATGCGAATTTATTAATTTTCCTAAGGTTTATTTCTAGTTTAAAAATCAGAATTCAATATTACGAACGTTTTAACGAAATGTCCATAGAACGCTAGAATGTAGCGATCCTACATGCATACGTTCATTACAAACATTGTGTTTCTGGAAATGATATATCGTCTTGTGTTTTTTTCTCTGAAGTACCGTCCTGTTTTTATTGAAAAACACAACGTTTCGGAGACCGGATTGTTTCTCCGTCTTCAGGTGGAACTTACTCAGATTTGCCCAATCGGTAGAGTTAGTCCATACTTCCGGACATCTGTACCAACACCAAATAGGTTATACAAGCCAAGCACAGCACAAACCATCTGCAAGAGCTAAAAAACATATAAATATTAAAAAAAAAATCCGCAAGTATAAGAGCTTGCACTAGAGAAATACGAGTCGAGGCCTCACACGTGTGGAATTTAATATTTTTATGTTTTGCCTTGACTCTCGCAGATGGGATGTGCTGTGCTTGACTTGTTTACCCTTATCTGGTGTTGGTAATGGCGTCCCGACAGAGGAACTAGCCGTATCGATTTAGCGCAATAGTCGATTTTACCTGAAGTTGAAAATAGAATCCAGTCTCCGAAACGTCGTGTTTGTAAATAAAAGCAGGACGATGTATAATGTTCAGAAACATAATCTTTTTGCATTACTGTAACTTCGTCACAAACTTTTAGATCTTACTTAATTTTATTAGTTGTCCTGTTAATAATTTGAAAAATTACTATTAAGCATTCTTCATAATGTTTATGGGAACTTTCGTCGTTTTTTAAGAGGGTGAAAGCTTTAGCAAATATTTTGAAGAAAGGAAACGCGGCCTGCATGCTACTAGCTATGCAGACATCTTTTAAATATTTATTATGTTTCTACAGCCACCAGAACCAGCTGATCCATGGAATGGAACCCTGGATGCCACAAAATTTGGAAAGAAATGCCCAGCCCTTACGAGATCGAATCAAGAACAAGAATTCAAAGAGTGGACGTCTCTTCTAACGCCTGAAAACACGGAAGATTGTCTCACTCTCAACGTGTACACGCCAAAGGTAAAATATAAAGTTACACCATCGTTCCAAATGCAACAGTCCTGCAGGAAAGGCAGCTTTAACGTTTTTTTTCCTGGAAGAATGTTTAAAATATAGGGCCCACTAAATTCCTTCCAAATTTTGGAAACAGGTCAACAACATTAATTGTTTGTATCTGCTATTTACAGTTTCTTTTTCAGCCAGACATTTAGAGGAAAAGAGGTCCAAACGCCAACTAACTTGGAGCACCAATAAGTAACGAATTATTTTCCTTCTCTTCTTCTTCTTAAAACTGAGTTTTGTTCTTAGTTTCTCGTTCCGTAGTAAAAGCTGCTCCGGATTTGTATTAACAAATTCGATACAGTAGATTCTTCCTGAGACACTTACTGTCGCTCAGCTAGTCGATATATTGTGTTTCTCGCTCCTTCTGGAACCAGAAGGTTAATTACCGGCTTTATAACTCTTGTCCCTGGTCCATATTTACCAGCTACGTCTTTCCAATTCTTAATAACTTTAAGATCCAATATAATATCATCTTGCCCCCTTCTATGTGGCACAGTTCTCAAGTTGCACTGTCACAAACTGATATGCATTTCTCCTCCTTCCGAAGCATGCAACCTGCCAGGCTTCCCTTTTCCTCCTGTTATTTCCTCCATCGGTCAGTGCAATGGTTAGGATCCAGGCTCGATACCAAGCAGAGGCAAGGGATTATTCTCTGCTTTTCAGGACCCAGTCAAGATCCAAGGCCTACCCACCTCCTATTCTATGGTTTTGCTATCCTTTCGTGAGGGATAAAGCAGAAAGGACATGAATCCTACCACTCACTTTGATCAAGTAGCAAGGCTAAGAATATCTGCAATATCAGTTACACTTTCCCTGACATCTTCATTGCGAGGTACTTAACGGAACACGGAAACTTTACCTAAATACTCCCCACAGCACACTATTCTCAGAGGTTCAAAACAATTCAATATTCTTTACAAGCGATGAAAATTCTGAGTTCAAAAGTTAAGGAACCAGAGTTTGGGTACATGTAGCTGTGTTCTTGTGTTACACGTCTGGAATATTTTACTTCTAGCATCTTCTGCCGTTGAAAACAAGTCATGCATTTGAGGCGATTGAACTTTTGGCAGTTAATTAACGAAGGAACTATAAACTCTTGGATGCTTGGATAGCTCAGTCGGTATAGCGACTGGCTACGGTCTGGACAGCCCAGGAGTCATAGTTCTACTTCCGGTATGGGGTAAAGCGGCCTGGGAGTGAATCTAACCACTCCACTCCAACAACTGTCCAGGCCAAGAGTGTCTTACTCTAAACACTTATAGAACTCTTTATTTCTGATACAGCTCTTCAGTAATGCGAGCCTCGCTCTCCCAGTCATGGTGTACATCCACGGAGGGTCCTTCCGGCTCGGTAGTGCTCAAGAGTACTGGCCTAACTATTTACTAGAGAAGGACGTCGTCCTGGTTGTTCCTCAGTATCGACTGGGCCCACTGGGTGAGTCAACTCTTGTACCAACATTTTATCCTTCAGTAAGCTTTATGATGTTTGCTTACGTGACAGTGATGCAGAGTGTCTTCTGGGGTAAGGAGTCGATATAGCGACTGGCTACAGGCTGGAAGACTGAGGGGTCGGATTTCGAGTCACGGTGGAGGCAAGAATTTTCTCTTCTCCAAGTCATCCAGACCGACTCTGGGACCTCCAACTAGTGACAAGGTCAAGAAAATGTGGACCCATCCATTCACTCCCCCATGTCCCTTCATGGCGTAGTGCTTAGTTATTTAAGCACAGAAACAACTTTACAACTCTCTTCAAGGATATAACGCCGTGTAGATGGTTACTGGCTGTTTGGGGGAACTTGTTACTTTCATTAGCCTCAAGAAAAGACAATCCCTCCCAGACGCACTGTGGCCCTTGGGCCGACTCAGCCTCTAACATAAATGAGTACCAGGAATTAATTAAATAATTTTCCTGGGGAGTAAAGCGTGGCCCCGGCGCGCAAGGCTGACAACCTTGCCGCCATCTTTGAGCCGATTGTCTACATAATGTGGGACCCTCAACATCTCACAACCCTATGGGCCTTCACGGCCTGGTACAGGGATAGCTTTACTTATTTTACTTTTATTCAGGTGTTCTGCCAACAGAAAATCCTCTCGGTAAACTATCTGTGGTCTAAAGAGGATTAGTTCGCAAATTCTTTTAAAGAACATATCCATTTTTAACTTCATTCTGGTCCGTCACACTAGTCAGTATAATAGAATGATATGTGAGTACACCGCCCAGTGTGACTCAAATGTACACATATATGATGCCTTTACATGTTTCTGACAGTTAATGACAATCTTCAGAAGGCAAATAGCAACACATGAAATTACTATTACATAAAGCATAGTGCATCAGGATCAAATTTGTCCAAATTTTTACATATAAAGATTTTAAATTAAGCTAAAATGTGGTGAGTTAAAATATAAATAAAACTCTTAAATTTTTAAAATCTTAAACCGCTGAGATTCTTGCCCCTTCTATCAACGGGAGGTTGGGTAGGTTGCCGCCCTTGGAGGTCCGGGCAGTGCTTTTCTTCTTTTTATAGTTGGTTAGGAGTCTCTGCTTGTTGAGCTGCTTCTCCTTCCGTTGTTTATTGAGACACTTTTATATATAAAACTTTGGACAAGTCTGAACTTGATGCACTATGATTTGTGTAACAGTAGTTTCCTCATGTGTTGTTGTTTGTCTCCTCATTCTATAGAACATATCCCTTTTCTGAAACTAGGATTTATTATGCAACAGTACTTTCAGTAATGAATATTTTTGTTGGATGTCGGGTTTGGATCCAGAGGACAACTGAAAGTGACCAATTCGTGAGTATGTTTTTTTCTTTCCTTCGCTTTTATAATTTAACGACTCTGTCAGCATCGAGATCATAAAGCGTCGACATTAGGCTGATGAATGAGTGTGGCGCGCATGACGGAACTGACGCGGCCATGTTGTGAACAGGATTCCTGTCACTACAGACGGAGGATGTTCCCGGCAACATGGGGCTGATGGACCAAGCTCTGGCTCTGCGATGGGTGAGGAACTACATATCGTTTTTCGGAGGAGACCCCGATCGAGTTACCATTTTCGGGCAGAGCGCCGGTGGAGCTGCTGTTACCCTCATGCAACTCAGTCCCCTCGTTGACGAGAGTGAGTTGAGACACCTCTTATTATTATTATTATTATTATTATTATTATTATTATTATTATTAGTTTAGCGTGTGGAGCCGTTACTATGTAATGACCGGGGGACATAAGAATAAAGAACGATGTTATGCAACCAGTCTGCATGCAACGGATCAGTAAACACGTTCCCGTGTCAATGAGTACACACGCAACAATAGAGTTACTGTTGAAAACGATGTTTTCTAGTCGAGTAATGCAAAGAGGTTATAAGGAAGACAATTGGGTCTACTGTGCAGGCGGGGCCGAATACCTCCACCGTGACGCTGCGAGTCGTAGGAGGCGACTAAAAGGAAAGTCTCAAATCTGAGACAGTAAAATATGGTTGCGTGTTCCAAGGGGATTCGGACCTGAGAAAGATTGCGCTGGCAAGGGCCAGCAGCATTTACAAATGACAGACCCGTCCTCTCGTCAGAGAGGGCGCACAGCAAAAGTAAACACGATCAAACAGTAATAAATATCTGGTCATGAGCGCCAGATGAGGTTCGACACCAAGACTTACTGAGTAACCGTCAGTCGCAAATTGACTTTGACTTTGATCCAGTAAGTTGAGAGTTGAGCTGTGCAAGGGACGCTGAGAAGAGATGGCTCTGTGGTTAATTTGACAGTTCTATTGTTGAGTGTTAACCAGAGGGCAACAATGTGAGCACAGAAGCTGAAGAATCTGCGTTGTTGAGAGCTACTACCAAGCAACGACTAGTGAAGACGCTGCAATTACTGGTCGTTCCGAGTGGCGTGTATAAGAAGTCAATAAATATATTCACCAATCCATACCCCGTCTATAATCACGCACATAAANGCGTGTTGCGATTTGTGCAGTTTGCAGAGCAGCGATAGCGCTGCAATTACTGGTCGTTCCGAGTGGCGTGTATAAGAAGTCAACAAATATATTCACCAATCCATACCCCGTCTATAATCACGCACATAAATCATGATATTACTGTTGAACTTCCATACATGGACCGTAGCTACGAGATACTAAATTTTGTTCAAGCATAAATACGTGGACAGATTATAATTATAATAAACATGCGTCCATTATTTTATATATTCTTTATATTACATACCGTGCACAACGAGCGAAATAATGCACGGATACAGGAACATAAGCTGCTAGTCGCAATCAAGTTCGTGAGCATGTTGTGTAAGCGCGCGATTTGGTATATTGTTACACTCTACACAGTGTATGACACAAACTCCGTCCTAAGTGCAACAGTTTACTGTAGTTCTTTTGTCTTCTTTTTTCTACACTACATGTTTCGGCCGTAAATGGCCATCATCAGGTGTATACTCGCACGTAGCTGTTACACTGCACATAGTTTAAAATTTAAAAACTCCAGTTTTCTTAATTGTTCATTTCTCCGTTGTTAATAGGTCCCGATATATCAGAATCCCCTTGCTGGTATTTGTCAGATATGTATGAAATCTTTGTTAGTTTACATATGTCAATTGAATTTTCGAATTTTGGTATTTTTAAAATCTTCAATCTATATTTAATTTTTCTTCCCTTAATTTTAAAATTTTAAAATGTAAAATTCACAAGGACACCTGCTCTAGGTCTACAGTGCTGCAGCGGCTACTTCTTGCTTTCAGCACCGTTCAGGTAGGTGTAGGCTCCCTCTGTGCGTGCTTCTGCTTATCTTTAATACGTTTAATACACGTATTAAATATAAGCAGCAACACGCACGCACCAAATTCTCCATCTACAAATTCTCTACAATAGGCCAATCAGTGGCCACCGTGCCGAATGGACCCAATTGGAGTCCATCCCCCACTACGCAAAAAAAAAAAAATAAACAAAAAAATCCCGAACGGTAAATCAGTGGTACCAATGCACTAATGCGTACATATACTATTGAATACTGTTTTTCTTTTTTTTCAGTCTTCATCATGTTATTATTTGTTCATTTCACTTGCGACCATGATACCGTTAACTGTCTCTTGCAGACTTGTTTGCGAAAGTAATCGCTCAGAGTGGGTCGGCGCTGGCTACGTGGGTCATAGATCGTAATCCGGTGAGGAGCGGTCTAGCCATTGCTCGGCTGGCCAACTGTAACCAGACTAAGATGGCAGACCTTACAGCCTGCCTCAGAGAGATCCCAGTGAAAGACTTGCTTCTGGCGCACTCGAAATTTCTGGTTAGTTTATCTGGTAAAAGTTAGCCCTGTAAGAGGCTGTGAAGGCCCATAGTTTTCTGAGACGTCGAAGCCCACACATTTTCTCTAGAAAATCAGTCCACAGATGGCGGTGAGGTTGTCAGCCTTACGTGCCGGCCACCATTTACCCCCGCCCCAGGAAAATTCCTGGTACTCATTTCTGTTAGAGGCTGAGTCGACCCCAGGGTCATAGTGCGGCTGGTAGAATTAGGTAATTTGAAAAATATCGACCACCTCGGGGCTCGAACCCGTGACCTTCCGGCTTCTAGCATAGTGGCTCAAACAACTACGCTACTGCGTGTCCCAGTTTATCTGATACCATCAGCGATCTCTGTTTAATACAGGAACCAGGATAGTTCATTTCGTGACTGACGACGGGATGGGCGACTGAGGAATTAGGGCTCGAATCCCAGCAGTGACAAGAGATATCTTCTTCATTGCGTACAGACCGGCTTTGGGATCTATCGGGCCCCTTTTCCAGTGGGAACAAATTGGTCTGTCCTCAGGGGTGAAGTCGACGGCGCGTAAATCTGATAATTCATTTTCATCTAGTGCCCAAGTTAATAATAAATGGACTCTGGATGCACCTCAGTGGTGCAGTGCTTTATGAACTATGCAGGCCGACAACTGTGCCTCTTACAACAAATATAGTTACGCTACAGAAAACGTGTTAAATTATTTTCCTGGTGAGTAAAGCGCGGCCGGCGCGTAAGGCTGACAACCTTACCTCCATCTTTGAGCCGATTGTCTAGATCAGTGTTTCCCAACCTGTGGTCCGCGGACCCCTGGGGGTCCGCGAGTAATTCAAAAGGGGTCCGCGGGATAGTTTATTTTCATTAAAATTTATCTTATCATGTTCCTCACACCTGGGATATTTGCAATGTATATCTCTGGCGCTTGAGGCCCATGGTTGAAGTAAAATTTAACGGGACTGTTGGTACCGTTACTTCTTCCCTTTGTAAAGCAGAGGTGAATAACCAAAGATTTGTGTAGCTTTTTCCAAGGACATTTTCTTTTGGTCGGCCCATTGCATCTCAGACTCGTGTTTCAGGGTGGACTGCTGTCCTAGTACCTGCTGTCCGACCATTCTCCCCTCCTCCCCCGCCAAATACATCCCTCTTTGGTTGGGAATAAACCTGGGACCATTGACCACGTTTCTTATTCATTTCAGTGGCAGAGCGAACAACCCGTGTTTCTTTAGTTTTTGTGCAGTGAATTTTTATAATATTATACAAGTGTGTTTTT